GGGGTGTACATGGGGAGGGGAGTGCCCACCTGTGTGTTTACTGTGGGTGTGCACACGCAGCTGTGTGTGCCTGACATTGTGTATCAGTGTCCCAACATGCAAGCGGGGGGGTGTGCATCCCCCCCACATCCCCCTCTCCGCTCACCCCAGGGACCTCTCCAGGGCAGGACGTGGGGACAGTGGGCTGCCAGCATGGGAACACCCTGGTGGGAGGGTGCACGGCACTGTACACCCATGGGTGACAAATCCCCAAGGGCAAAGGTGGGGGGTGGCCGGGTGCCCCCCCCAGGCCTCTCCCCAGGGCGGGCACCCCTTACCTGCCAGGGCGCAGAGGGCAAAGAGGAGACCACGGCAGCGCATGGTGGTGGCGCAGGGGCTGGGGCTCCGCTCGGCCGCCCGTGTGGCGGTGTTCTGGGCCTGGCGCCTGGTGGGACAGGACAGCTGTCCCCTGCCACCGTCAGCTGTTCCCAACAGCCACAGAGGCCAGGGAGGGATGGGTGTCCACCCACACCCCCCTGCCGGCAGGATGATGCCAGTTTGCTGGGAAGCTCCTCTGGCATTTTGTGCCGGGGGGGTTGGAATTGGGTCTGGGTGCAAAATGAGCTCCGTGCCTCAGTTTCCCCATGTCCCCCACAGAGGGATGCATCTCCCTGCAGCGGAAACCCAGGCACCCATGGGTTATGGAAAAGGGGTGCCCCCCTGCAAGTACCCCCAGCAGTGCACTGCCCCCCCCCATGGCAGTGGCTGCCCCCAGGGTGTAGGGTGGGGAAAGGGCAGGCAAGTCCCACCATGTCAGCCTGGGGAGTGATGCCCGCCTTGGGGGTCCAAATCCTGTCAGGCCCTGTGTAGGGTGGTCGGGGCGGGGAGGGGGGTGAGATTCCTGGCTCAGCAGAGAGGATGTGACAGCTGTTCTGGGCCGCTGCTGGTGGGGGGATGTCAGCTGTGCCCCCTGAAACCGGAGCCCTGGCGTCCCGCTGCTGAGCCGGGGAAGGAGACACCCCTCTCGGCCTCCAGCCAGGGGCTGCAGGATGGGGTGTACCATGGGGGGACACTCGTGGGTCTGGCTGGGGGGTCGGGGGAATGGGGGGGGTGATGTGGGCACTGATGGCAACTCTGCCCCCTGCAGTGGGTCCGCAGGGAATGGTGCCATGCTGGGGGGGTCCATCCCCTTCCCCAGCCCATCCTGTCCCATGTGCCCAGCCCAACCCTGCCCTGTGTAACAGGTTTGCCTCTGGGAAACACCCCTTCCAGCCACAGCTGAGGACCACCATGCTCAGGACACCCAACAGCACCCATTCCCTGGGGGGACATCACCCTGCCCAGCCCACGCACAGCGCTCAGGGTGGGCACTGTGCCCAGAGATGGACACTGAGAGCAGCCACCAGCTCAGGACCCCGTGGTGAGACGCATCCAGCTTTATTTTCCCCAGCCAAGGCAGGTGAGTGGGAAGGAGCAGGGGGCTGGCACGTGATCCCCCACCCCTAGATGAAACGCTTGTTCTCCTCCCGGTAGTCGTAGGGATCTCCGGCAAAGGGCAGTGGTGGGGGGTGGTTGTAGATGCCCATGAGGAAGATCCAGAGGGTGCCCACCACCAGCGTGGGGGTGATGAGGAAGAGGCAGAGGCGGTCCAGGGTCCGGGCCACACGGTTCCAGTTGTCCTTCTCCTGGGGAAGGAGCCAGGAGCCAGGCAGTGGGGGGCACAGTGGGCACAGGGAGCCCCCTCTGCCCCGCCATGCCCGTGGCCCCCACCTCATTGTAGCTATTTTTCTCCTGCATGTGCTTGACGATGAAGTTGGCGCCATCAATGACAGGTTTTATGTGCTCGTAGAGCTGCTCCTCGCCTGGGTCCACAGGTGCCAAACCTGGGGGCGAGGGGGACGGTGAGACAAGCTCCGAAGGGCTGCCAACCCCAGAGACACCTGCTCCGCCACCCTTCCCCCTGTCCCCGCAAAGGGGCCGAGGCTCACGGGCAGGGGTGACGCGGCTGGCCAGCCCGTGCCGCTCCGACTGCTTCTCGAACATGAGCTCACTGCGGGACTTGACGCTGAAGTACTCCTCCGCCTTGGCGATGTAGCCGGCCGAGCTGCAGCGCCGGATGCACGGGGCGCTTGCCGGGCTCTCGGCTGGCTGTGACATGCCCAGCAGGCGGGGCACGCTCTCCAGGAAGACCTGGGACACAGGAGGTGGTGTCCGGTCCCTCAGCCACCCCCTTGGTGCAACACCACCTTGTCCCCCACCTTCTGCCCCCAACCCAGGCATGCAACCTCTTGGGGTGGCGCAGATGGGACATCCAATGCAATGCTGGGGCTGTGCTGTCCCATGCCCTCTGTGGGGCACAGTGGCACCCCTGCACCCACCAGATCACCTACCCCAGCCCAGCACCCCGCTCACCTCTTTGACCCAGTCAGACATGATATGGGTGCTTGGGGTGCGGAAATGGAAGTTGAGGACCACGACGCAGATCACCACCACGGCCGTCACCAGCAGCATGATGAAAAGCAGGTACCTGTGGGGGACACGGACCTGGGGCTGGCATTGCCACAGGGGCTGGGCACAGGCAGAGCTGCCATCTGGCACCGCGGGGACCCTGCAATGTCCATGCTGCACCCAGCGATGCCCAGGACTCACTTCCCAATGAGGGGGATGGCGTGGGAGGTGGCGGGCAGGCGCTGGGAGATGAGCAGAAGGAAGACGGACTGGGCTAGGAGCACCGAGATCACCAGGGTCATCTTCTCACCACCTGGAGAGCAGGTGAGCTCAGGGCAAAGTCTGCTCCAGGTCCCCCTCCCAGTGCCCCCAGTGCTGGGATTGCCCTCCCAGTGTCCCACCATACAGTGCCCCATATAGGATTTTTTATTATGGGGGTATCCCAGGGTCCCACATGGGGTATCCTGTGCCCAAGTGTGCCCCTGCCAGGGTGCCTGGCTGGGATGATGGTTGTCCTACGTGGGTGTGTCCCAGTACCAGGATGTCCCTGTGCTGGGCAATGGGGTGTCCCCATGTCCCAGGATCTGGTGCAGGTGTGGGACATGGAGGTGCCCCATGGGGTGACCCCCGTGCCTGGCATAGGTGCCACGGGGCTCACTCACTGTCGGCGGGCAGGTAGAAGACAAGGATGGCCATGAAGGCGATGAGGATGCAGGGCGTGACGATGTTGATAACATAGAAGAGCGGCTTGCGCTTGATGATGAGGTAGAAGGTGATGTCCTGGTGCTCGCTGCTCTCGGGGGGGTTGTCAGGGTGGATGTTCTTGCGGGCCGGGCGGTGGATGATTTCCCATTCCCCATTCTCTGCCGGGGCACATGGGACAGCGCATGGCATGGGGGCCCCCACCATGTCCATCCTCACCAGCCCCACCAGCACCCAGTCTCCCCATCCTGGGTCTGGGTAGCTCCAAGCCTGGTGGGATGGGTGCCAGGGTGCCAAAGCCCCGGGTGCTTGGGTTTCTCCATGGCAGGGTGCCCCAATGCCAGGGTGCCCCTGAGTCCTGTACAGGGTGTCCCGCTGCCACAGGACACGGCAGAGAGCACAAGCATTACCTGTGAAGCCTTCAGGGTCGATGATGATCCACTCCACCGGGTAATATTTGCCCGTCTTTGGGTCGCTATCTGTCTTCAAGTGCATGCTGATCTCCAGGGCGCTGTACGCCAGCGAGCTGGCCCACAGCCAGGGGGGAACAGGCAGTGAGGGGCTGCGCCTGCTGCTTGTTACCTACCACTCACCCACCCTGACCTCCAGCATGATGGACTCGGGCCACCGAGTCACCTGCAAACCTGCACCTTGCTGTGCCCCAACAGCAAGAGAAGGTGCTGGCAGCAGCGGGCACCGCAGAGGGCCAGGATGCCCACCCTGCTGCCCGCCCCTGCCCTGCCCCAGCCAGCCCCCCAGCACCTGAATTTGAGGGTGCAGTTCTGCCAGTCGAAGGGGAAGAAGTCGACGTTGATGGGACAGGCGCTGCGGAAGATGGCAGGTGGCAGCCAGTAGACATAACCCGTGTTGTAGATGAGGACATTGCAGTAGTAGGCGACCTCGAAGAGCCCGTCGTTGCTGTGCCGGGAGAGAGACGAGGTGATGGCAGGGGGAGCCCTGGGCATGCCTCAGGGGATTTGGGAGGGGGAAACTGAGGCACGGCTCACTTGTTCTCCAGGACTATCTCAGGCAGCCACAGCATGTCCGGCGGCAGGCGGAGCACCTCGATGTCCCCAAACTCAGACTTGTTCCACTGCAGGCGGTAATCGGTCCAGCCCTGGAGGGGGGGATCCCCGGGTCACTCCCTCACCATGCTGGGCCACCCTGTTGCCTGTGCCTTGGGGCACAACTGACGCCGTGACGCCTGCCCCTACTCACATGCTCGACCCATAGGTTGGTGGTGAGCGTCTCGTCCACCTCTTTCTGCAATGACAGCGTGGGGCAGTGAGATGCCAGGGCCATGCCCAGCAGCCGTTCCCCCCAGCCCAGGACCCCCAACCCTCACCAGCCAGGGTTCGGGGCAGCAGCCCCAGGGTTCCTCCCACCCACCCAGCCCCATGGGTGAAGCATGGCTGGAGGGCACCCCACGGCGGGCACTGCCCTCTGGGACTCACCAGTGAGATAAGGTTGGAGAGTGTGAGGGCCAGGTAGACGTCCACGACCTGGTCGGTGGAGACAACGGGGCGCACCTCCTTGTTGTAGCTCTTCTCTTCGAAGAGGTGGTGGATGAGCCGCTCCTCCTGGTTCACACAGAGCCCGCCTGGGGGTGTGGGGTCAGGCAGACTGGGGTGGGGCTGGGGGGGTTACTGGGCCCAGTTCCACCCCGCAGAGATTCTCGGTGAGGGCAGGGTGGTGTAAGGATGGAGGAGACAGGAGGAGGCCAGCATGTGTGTGCTGCACAGGGGCATGGGCACATGCGGGGGCACATGGGCACACATGGGCATGGGACAAGGATGTGGGCACGGACACAGAGGGACACACAGATACAGACCCAGCACACACAGGGACACACAGACACAAGACACTTGGGTGCAGACGCAGTGGCACCGGGCACGTAGGTGGATGCACACACAGAGGCACACATGGACACGGACACATGGACATGGACCCAGTGTAGGCAGGGACATGTGGTCATGGATGCAGTGTCAGTGTGCACAGAGACAGACAGGCACACACAGGGACACACAGACAGTGGCACTGTGCATGGACAGATGGATTCATATGCTGGCACACAGGGACACACGCAGGAATGCAGCCCCACTGTGTACAGACAGACACACACACACATGGCCCAGGCAGGGACACGGCTCCGGGTGGCACAGTCAGGATGGAGGCACAGGGAATGCTCAGTGATGGGACTCTGACAGGCAATGGCCAAAATGCAGCCCTGGGGGCACTTGTGCCCAGCTTGGACCCTGCCACCATCACCTCCCACCAACC